TTTCAAAATATTTTCTGTGTTGGCTGGATCAGGACCAAGTGCTTCATGGAGGTTGTCATAAATTTGGAGATTTGATCAGATATCCATGTAGGTTCGGCTGAGAGTATTTCTCCACATGTTTTGCATTGGTGTGGTTTCGTAAGGTACCAGTCATATATCTATAACATTGTACTTACATAAAAAAAAACTATAACTGTAATATATCTAAAAAACATCAAAACTACCCACTAAAAAAAAATTACCTGATTTTTAGACCCGGTTACTCTCATATAGTCACGTGGGCTTGAGCAGTATATAATTTACTTTCTTTACTTTTCGCGAACGTCATTCGCTGTGCAAAACTTCTACTAGTACCAGTAGTATCTACTACTAATAATAATAATACGTGCGTGTAWAACAGTATTGTTTTATCGATCCTAGCGTATAGTAATCCGACGTAGTATAACTSTGCGTGCGCTTGTTCGATAGAGTAATATATGCGTGCGATATATACAATATATGCGTGTGTATATACGGTCTAGCTGACTATGGTAGTAGTCTTGGGGGTGTGGGGTGTAGACGATGGATTTTCTTGGCAAGAAAACGTGTGCGGGAAACAACTTAATATATTATTATTATATTCGTATCACGGACCAACGAAGGGTGACACGACGAGGGGCATCCATCGAGTGGCAATAACTTCCAACACTTGTTGTATTGGTTTCGCTCATTGGCAACCGTCCCGCGGTGGCAATTCAAATTAAACGCAACAATGATAATGATATGCGTACATACACGGCCGACGTTTACGCACACGTATTGTGTATTTGGACGCATATTTTGCGCCCGAACACGGTGTTTGCCGATTTGAGACGATCGTTCTGCAAAGATTTATTGGATGACGCGTATTACATCCAATCCTCTCGACCTTTTTGCCGCCACCCCCAACGGGTGGGGTCTTATAATTCGATTCGTTCCGAACCGGTAACGCGACGATATTTGGCACTCGATACGAATGATTATCGACATCGTTGTTATTGTATTATTAAACGAACACGAAATTCCTATCAAACCTGCGTATGTAACATTAAGCCGCGACTACAACGTATAACGGTATAATAAATTATTATAATATTACGTATAAAGTGCTATACATATAGCGTCGTACGACGGATTCATAAAATCATTGTTCAACACGCACACACACACACACACATATAACTTAGTGGGAAGGTACACATTTTCTGCTTTAAACGACAAAAAGTAATCTCGAGACGATACATATTTTAAACATCTCATGTGATTTGAGGCGATTTCCGTATGCTTAAACTAAAATTATGCTTTGGGCGCCAGCTAGATTCGCATAGTATTTCGTTCAACCGACTTTCRATGACAAACGACCGAGAGGCACAGTCCTGAATAGTTAACTTGTTAACTTTTCGTTGAATTTTAGGAATTTATTAACCATTATTATRAAACAATGTTCAAGCAAATATTTTCAAATTGTAACGAGCGACTTGCCACATAAATTCAATTTATTTTCAACTTATTAAGGATAGACGGATATCAATCCAACGCCATACGTAATGTCTTATGATGTACAGTATTAATTAGCCATTGCTATATTTTAAAATAGGTGTAAAGGTATAAATCATAACATCATTTTAAATGTTTTTGTTTTTATATCCCTTTTTAGAGGAATAAGACAGTATTTTAGTATTTCGTAGAATATGCAATAAATTGGGAAGTAGAAACATGTACACATTATAATAGTAAATCTTATGGTCAAGCCCTTAAACAGTAATCGTTGTACTTGGACCCTGTATGAATAAGATATTTAAAATATAATAACATTAATAACGTTTTATRAAATTAATATAATGAGTATATTTTTTATAATAATATTAGGTATACATGGAACAATTTTTTTCATAAATATTTGCTATTTAGTTTATGATTTTAATTCTTATATTTTTTTTTAAATTCTTAACAAACACTGTTATATATCATATATATGTATTCATATTGTATGTTGGATCATACACAAATTTAGACAACTAATACAAATTTAGAGTTTTAATTAAGAAAATTATAAAAAATTTCAATAAAAGTAGAAAAGCTAATTTTAAAATATAACATGGAGCACATGCAACTTACCTAAAAATATATTTGTTAAATGATAGCTCGACAATCCTATTATTAACTAAAAAATACCTAGGTATACTATATCA